GTATTAAATGGAATCCTATAAAGAAGTTTTTACTTTGTGTTGAACATGAAGTTACTCAATAGCAAGAGACTTGGCTAGATGACTGAAACTACTAAAATTTTATTAAAAATTACATACGATACTGTGTTAGTCATGCTTTCCTAAGAGATAGTCAAATCCTGATTTTTTTTTTTACCATTAGTTCTTAACCACAGAAAAGGCCAAAACATGCACACATGAAGTCATTACCGATTGAAGATTTGTCTTCTCTAAAATTGATAGTAAAATAATTTTAAAACTTGCTTCCATGTGTCTTTTCAGCATGCCTATTGAATAAAGTATTAGACCTGTATTTTGAATCTATCTTTGTAAGCCCTTACACTGTTCTGTTTTATTACAGTCATTGCTTTTTTATCATTAATTGGAAGTCCAAATGAAGCCTAGACTATTTTTAGGAAAAGTTAGATTTTTTTTTTTAACTTTTGAAAATCTTATTAAGAGATTTATATATAATGTAGCAGTTTCAGTTACTGTCTCTGTCAGGTTATTGAGAGTTAGGACAGGTATAGATATTATTACTAGAAGTTACTGCTGAAAAATTTCTCTTCTGTATTTTTATGAAATAAAGCTCGTAAGATACACCATGAGCAACATGAGTGGTTGTGAATCATACACTGAAAATAGGAAAAACTGTCTTAAATAAAGTTCATGATAAAAATTTACATGTAGTGATGGCTTTCAATGTTTTTTCTAATTGTATTACTTAGCATCTTTTTTCTTTGATTTGATGATTAGAGAATAAAACTAACAGCTTAATTTTTACAGTTGGCCAAGTGTGCAGTTTTCTTGTGAGGCCCTCAGATAATACTCCTGGTGATTATTCACTTTATTTCCGAACCAATGAAAATATTCAGCGATTCAAAATATGCCCAACACCAAACAATCAGTTTATGATGGGAGGCCGATACTACAACAGGTAAATCATGAAACTATTTGTTATCTTTTAGTGTTGGTAAAAATATTGAAATCAGTATACAAATTTTCTCAATTACTAATATATTTCAGTAGTAATCATGTCTGAGAATCCTTTAGATAGTATCAAACAAGAATAATCATAACCTGCTAACTTCCAAAATTCTTTGTGGTTTAATAAGATGTTTATGCACAAGCTATTTGTATATAATTCCCTAGGAGTAACCTCAGATTTATACAGATGTCATTGTGAATGAGATTTATTTTCTCAAATTAATATTTTTTAATGTGATAATTGTTTTCTATTTTTCAACTTCTGAGTAAACTTGGCTTGTCCCCAAATTCATTGAGTTTTAGTAGCTTGCTTAGGAAAGTGAGTAAATGAATAGAAGAAACTGTGGTAGAGTGAGTGGCAGTATTTTTCTGTAAAAGAAAAAGTAATCTCCATTTTTGGATGAAAAATTTTCCCAAATTTGGTAATTCTGGAGTCTCTCCTATTTACCTCTGGGATAAACCTGTTTTAAAGTACATTGACCTGCTTAATGTCTTAATAACACTGCCATATTCTCCATCCCAATTGGAATTCCTCTTAATTCCAGCTAGATTTTGAGTATATAAGAATCCAACAGCTGGCTTATCTGGAAAACAAAACAAAAATCCAAAGATAAAATCTTCCTTTTGCTTATCAGAAGTCAAGTAGACAGTTATGAAACATTAAATTGAAAATGTGAGTTTAGGCACCACTCTTGCTTACTGCATTTTAAGCTGCCTGAAGACCTTCTGTGTTATAATCTGGGTTTTAGATGCTCTCACTGAAAATCCAACTTGCTAGAGTTTGAATTTGTCAGAAATTAGTTTTTCCCATTGTTACGGTTTCTGGAGACTTGGAACATACAAAATTATAAATCAATAACATATTTGTAACTGAGTTAATAAGTATCCAAATTGAAGGTTTATAAGGTGTAATAATTTACGTAGGCTTATTTATTTAAGTTTTCAAGAATGTTTTGACTTAAACCTCTTTAGGATATCTATGTCTATGAAGATGGAAAACCTTTTTATACACTGTAGACTCTCAGTAAGATTTATAAAGGTAGCTTTTGTTATAGAAACTATAATAGAACAAGAAGAAATAATTGAAGATATTTCTTTACAAATTTTCACAAAATCATTTAGAATGTTTGCAGAATGAAGACTTAGCAAAAATTTTAATATAACAGTGGTCTCAACCATTCTCCCAAATCTGAATTTCAGATTTTTTTACTATCCATTGATATACTGGTCTTAAAAAGTTCAGATAATCTTGCCTGGTATGGTGGGTGTTCACCTTTAGTCCCAGCACGCAGAGGCAGAGGCAAGCAGATCTGTGTGAGTTCAAGGCCAGCCTGGTCTACTTAGTGAGTTCTAGGACAGCTGAGGCTACAGGGAGACTCTGTCTGAGAAATACTCAAAAAAAAAAAGTTCAGCTATCTTATTGTTTCTAATTTTAATATTTTAAAAAAAGTAAAGTCAAAGGCCAGCAAGATAGCTCAGAATGTAAAAACACTTTTTCTGCAAAGCCTAACAACCTGAGTCTGATCCCTAGAACTATGAACTTGATGTAAGGACAAAACCAACTCCAGAAAGTTGTCCTTCGACTACCACATGTTTGCCATGAAATATGTATATCTATACTCATACACATAGTATAAACACACACACACACACACACACACACACACACACACACACAATTAAAAGTAAACACAGTAATCTAATGCATTCATTTAATGCCTGAAGGATAAAACTACCAAAGAAATAGGATTTCATGCACATTAAAACTGGATTTTCACAATATTATATGCTTTTCTTTAAGGTCACACTAAAGATATGATCTGTATTTATATTTTAAGTCACACAAATAATAAAAAGAAAGTAAAATTAGTGCTGGAGAAGACAGCTCAATGATTAAAAGAGCCTTTTCTGCTCTGCCAGAGGACCAGAGTTCAGTTCTGAGAACATATGTTGGTGGCGCACAGACTTTGCCTGTAACTCTAACTCTGGGGATATCTGATGCTCTGACCTCTTTGGACCTGCACACATATGCATGTGCCCTCAAAAAGACACACTTGCATATAAATAATTAGAAGTAATAAATATATTTCTAAGAAAGTAAAGAAGGTCAGAATCACATGACTAATACACAGGAAATGGCAGTTTTTCTATTTTTCTTGGAAATATCTACTACATTTTAGTATTATTAGTGATTCCTAGGAACTTAATTTGGAGGAAGACACACTTGTTACTATGTATTGTTTAGAAATGAATATGCAATTTCAGTAAACGTAACAAGAGTATACTATGCTATTCTTTTTCCCCATTAGATTTTTTGTTGTTGTTGTTTTATGACGTAACTGTTGATATATAACTTTTGACATTCCTATATTCACGATTTTAGGAAAAAAGGGACACAGCATCAAATTGAATTCAGCAAACATTTATTGACTAATCTGCTTAGTGAAGTATACTATGTGGCTCATGTACTGTGTACACATCAAAGGAAAAAAAATCCATTTCTGTATCGTTTATGCTCAGATAAGTTAGTAAAGATGGTGTGCAGATTGTAATATATTAAGAAAATACAAATATTTATGGAAATCACCAAGAAAAGTGTCATTTAGATAATTTGAGAAGGATTTTAGTCAAACACTGAAGATTGTTAACACTTGTCTAGGGCTCAAGAAGAGAGAGGCACAGTTTTATGTAGTGTATACTAAATTAAAATTACATAGTACATAGTGTCTTTAGAAATTTCTTGTTTCATAAATAAGCATCTTCCCACTGGCTACAACTGAAGAAAATGTCTCTCCTTCCTCCAGGAGTCAACTAAGTGCCATGTAGAATCTCAGGGTGGGTTGGGTTCTCTTCAGCCCCTTCCTTCTCCACATCAGGATGTTGACAGGTTCAGTCATGTGCAGGTGGTATACAGGTAATCATAGTTGCTGAGAATTCAGGAGTGCAGTGACTGTGGAAGACAGTGTTTCATAACAGTCCACTCTTTTTTCAAGTTCTAATATTCATTCTGCCCCCTTTTCTACAGAGCCTTGGAGAGAAGGTGATAGAGATGTCCCATTTATCGCTGAACATTCAACAGTCACTTATTTTCAGACCTTTGATCAGTTATGAGTCTCTGCTATAATTGCTATGCACTGTAAAAAGAAAGTTTTCTGACCAGAGCTGACAGCAGTATTTGTCTATGAGCATGAACACAATTACTTAGAGGGCAATTTTTTTTTTTTTATATTTGCTAGACAAAAAGTCTCACTATGTAGCACTGGCTGGCCTAGAACTTACTGTGTAGACTATGCTGTGTTGGACCTCACAGAAATCCACCTGCTCTGTGTCCTAAGTGCTGGGGTTAAAGATGTGCACCATCACACCTGGCTAGAAGGTAAACTGTATGGCACATCATGTCCATTTAGCAAAACAATAGCAGTAGCTTAGGAGTCTCTGACATCTCCAGCATTTTGCTTTTGTCCAGGTTTACAGTACCAGTTAGAATTTCCTCCCATGAAGAAGGCCTTAAATCCAATCAGAAAATGGTTGGTTTACCCCTATAACAGTCATTACTAGTGGGCATATCTTGCTTGGAGGGTCACTAGAATAGCACAAAGGGGCAATAGCTGACATTCAGTGATGTTTCTTGCCAGCAACTTGCATAGCATTTTGTGGCACCAAGAACTGCATAGTAGGGAAGAAGCTTCCAGCTCATTTCCCACTTGATTTCTATCTTAGAACCACAGAGTGGTGCCTTCAGGGTCTTACCATGCAGCTCTGGTTGGCAACTAACAACAGTTCTGGTAGCCTCTGTGTTTTGGGGGGCCTCAAAGGAGAGGTAGCCCACCCTTGGCACTATAATTCCAATTTAATAACCTATGACTTCTAGGAGCAGCTTTATCCACCCATACAACATAACCTCTGTTCAACTTTTTAATTTCTAAATTAAGGATTTTATTTTTAATTTGTGTGTGTGTGTGTGTGTGTGTGTGCCTGTGCACATGAATGTGGGTGCCTACAGAGATCAGATGAGGGCATTAGATCCTCTGATGCTGGAGTTCTGGTTGTGAGCCACCTGATGTGAGTATTTGAAGATCAACATGTGCTATTAACCACTGAGCCATCCCTAGCTTCTCCCATATCCTTTTAAGATAATTTGCCTAGTTTCACTCTGTCTTGTGCTAAATATTTATATACTTTTTAAGTCTTATGTTTCATTTTTGAATGTTACATTCAATTTTGTGGTATAATTAATTTAAATATAACACACAAAACATACATAGTAAGAATTATGGAAAAAATAAATTATCAGGTTAAACAAGAGCCTTTTGGAGACATGTTTAAGTGTCTCGAAAATACTTAAACCTTTAGTATATTAAATGAAAAATTTAAAATTCCAGAATTTAAATATTCAAGACATTAATTTGACTTATTAATTACAGAACATACTTTTATGTATTACAAAAAATATTTTCTGGCATGCTAAAATTTATGTTATATCATTTTTTTCTTTCAGTTTTGTTAGTAATATTTCTCAGATATGTAGAAAAATTGGTGGTGCTTTGTAATTAAAAGAATCCAATCCTTTCCTGGCACAATGACAGTTATACAGGCAAAAATAGCTCCTGGTGTTTTCTTTTTTCTTTTCTTTGCTTTTGGGCTTCTACTTTTTTACTGTTTTACTGTTCGTGTGGTATTGTATGATACAATGACATCTTATACGAAAGCAAATATATAAATGTTTTGCTGATAAACTTTCTTAGTTTAACACTTGCTAAATAAATTCTGTTTCTCTCAGCTATTCAAATATTCTTAATATCTCTGAATGGCTGCTATTGAAAAACACAAAACAACTGAACTCATTTTCTCACTGGTCACCCTCCAAGTATGCAGTCAAGCATCACTGACTTGGCTGTTTAGGTGACATATGTGGGAAGCAGAATCTTTGACTTATGTATTCTGACCTGTAAACCTGTATTGGGAACATTCTTGTTTTTCATGTGCCTAATATGATCATTTATTCTGTGGATATGTTTAGATTCTATGCTATGTAAAACTACTTATGAATAGATAAACCTTTAACAGAGTTTACTTGTATTTTAAGAGATTGATATTTTTAATGTAAGACAAATGATGTCAGTTAATCGTTTTTATTTTAACAGTATTGGGGACATCATAGATCACTATCGAAAAGAACAGATTGTCGAAGGGTATTATCTTAAGGAACCTGTACCAATGCAGGTCAGTGTTATCTTTCTTTCTTGCAGTAATTCTATCTCATTTTAGAAATCATTTTGGTGATGCTTATAAGGTATTCCTGCAGTTAAAACTAGGTAAAATTTAAACTATGGATTACTTAGCTTCCTTTAGAAAATGAATTGTAAGAAATTTTCCAGTTTCATTTATGTTCATTCTAGATAATTTTAAGTCACTTCTTGGTACCTTTTTTTGGGTTAAATTTATTTTTATTAAATTTGTTTGTAAACAGTTTCCTATAATATGCAATGCATAATGAGCATTCTTGCTCCCTACCTCCCTCCTACCCTCTCACTCTCTCACCCTCTCACCCCCTCCACCATCTACTTTACAAACATCTCTCTCATGTTCATGTCTATGTATTTGTTTTGTGACTCACTGAATTTAATCAATGCCTACTGGTAACCATGGGTTTGGAGCTATCTCTTGGAGCTTGGTGGGTTCAGCAGGGGTGAACTAAGATAGTGATTTCCCCTTTCCCAGAATCTATCCATAGCCAATAGTAGTAGGGCCTGGTGAGCCCCTCCCTCTTCTATGACCAATTATTGCTGGGACTGGTCTTATGTGGGCTCAGTGCAGGTAATTACAGTTGTTGAGTTAATGATTGCAATGGTTGCATTGAATCTAGAGATTGGCATGTTGCAGCTCATCACCTTCCAGTTTTTACACAAATCCTGCTCCTCTTCTACAATGTTCCTTGAGTCTTAGAGTGATATATTTTGTTTAATGCTGAGCCTGTAATCATGATTTATTCTCTGTCATGATCACTCATGAGTGTCTGCATTTGCCACCATTCACTGTAAGCAGAGGCTTCTCCTATTAAGGCTTGGAACAGCCTTTGTCTATGGATATAAACATAGATATTTACAAAGCAGTTTGCTGTATTGTCAATTCAGTTACACATCAGTAGTGAGTTTCCAACATGGGCCTTTGGCCTCTCCAGACCTGGGTTGCTAACCTGTCTTATAGCACTTGCTAGCTTCTTGAAGATAATAGTGATAGTGAAGACAGAATCCAAGTAGCACTTGGGAAGGAATGAATTTTTTTTTTTTTTTTTTTTTGAGGCAAAAGTTGAGATGGCACAGTTAAATCACAGCCAGACTTATGTAGGTAAGATTGATAAGAAAATAAAAAATGCTAGAGGAGGATTAAGACCAAAAAGGCTTAAACTTTTTTTTATTAATTTGCCTATAGTTTTACCATGGGACACCATGTCTGTACACTCAAGTAAAGAGTGAAAAGACAATGAGTGATGGGTTGGGGTAGAGTGGTAGCACCTGATGTGCAAGACCCGAGAAATGTGATTCAGCAAAAGAGACTGTTACATGTTGATTGTTTAACATAAAGAATGATTAGCCTTTCTGAGGTGTGGTAGGGAAAGGATGTAGCAAACGTTAGAAAAAGGCGCTTCTAGAGCTGAAGAAATGGCTCAGTGGAGGACCTGTGTTCTGTTCCCAGCACCCACACTAACTAACAATTGTCTGTAACTCATTTCAGGGGATTCGACACTCTCTTCTGGTCTCTGTGGGCATTGTTTGTGGGCATGTGGTACACCTACATACATGCAGGCAAAACACTCATGCATATAAAATAAATCTTTTAGAAAGGTGCTTCTAAGAATTTTCCAGCAGGATGTGGTGGTGTATGCATTGTAATCCCACTCGGGACAGAGGCAAGAAGAATGACTTCTGCAAGTGGGAGGCCACTTTCGTTTACACTGGAAGTTCCAGGATAGTCAGGGAGACCCTGTCTCTAAACAACAACAAAAAGGAAACAATCAAACAAAAATAGAATTTTCCTTTGAAAATGGATGGCATTGTGGAGATATAAGGAAAGATTATGAAGAGGTTTAGGTTCTCTTCTGAAGTGATCCAATCTTTGTATTGTCTTAAGTTTCTAGATTTTCTCTCCCAAAAAAGTTAGTTAATTACAAGTGGTTTGCATCTACACCTCTTTGCAGTTACTGCATTACTCTGAAGTTAAATATAAATTTAAGGGTTATACTCTTGGGACAGTTTCATATATCTCCCTTTATTTTTCTCCTATGAATTTTTCCCCTGCCTCAAGTAGGATATGGCATTAGATAGTTTATGAATATTAATTGAATGATTCTCTACTCTTCAGAGAAACTTAATCTTAAGTTTCAATTTCTCTTGCCTTCTAATAACTGTAGTCATCATCGATGTATCATTTTTGTTGGCGGTCTGACAGACTTTGTTTATTGTTTTGAGTACTACGTGTGTAAACATTCATTTTTTAAAAATAACCTCATGTAGTTTATGTTTTCTAGAAAGTACTGCTGTGGGTCTTTCATTAGGGTTAATACAGATCCTGTCACGCTGTAGCCTTAGTTCTGCAGTAGCTAATTGAGTTAGTAATTATTCTAGTTTGTTTCAGAAATCCTTAAATTTTGTTTAGAAATTAAATGATAAATGATTTCATCCTGCATTTATCCTTGTAATTTTCTAATTTAATTTTTTACAGTTAGGAAAGTAAGCATGTAATGTCTAGCAAACCTTTAGTATGAGAATTGCTTTCTATTATTTAGAATGCCTCACTTTTGTGTTACCATTTTATAACTAAAGAAATCTTAAATTGCTGTCCTTTGTAAAAAATGCCTACAAAGTGTTGAATGTCTCAAGTTATGATAAAGTATTGTAAGGTAACAATTATATGTTTATATATTATATAAATATTAGATTACAAAATAATTTTATTTTTACACAGTCAATTAAATGTTAGTCATATATACTGTGTTGGTCCTGGAATGAAAATAGCTTTCAGCAGAGGTTTGAAGAGTCAAAACATTTACCTGTTCTTTCATTAGGAGTCTACTAGAAAACATAGAGGCTAGTAATATCCTTTTACTAATGAACAAACTACTAACAAAAAAGATCAGACCCCCTCCCCATGTCACCCTATATACCCAGACATGAGCTGAAACAGAAACAACCAAGTCCTTTCATGAGAAAGGAACCAGAGGAAAAAGGAGGCATTTGCAACAACCTACTCCACAATAGATTAACATTTTCAGGTCTAGTAAAATGGCCCAGTGGGTAGAGGCACTCCGGACCCAAGCCTGACAATCTGAGTTCAGATCCAAGCCTAACAACCTGAGTCCAGACCAAGGGACCCACACTGAAAATTTAAAAATGTATTTTCAAATATGTTTTAGGTACTTTTTATATATAATAATAGTGAAGTTGACAGTATAATTATACTTATTTTATAAATAAAGAGTAGAAAGGCTAAATAAATTTCCTAAAGACATTGTCATCCTTGATTCTTTTTTTCCAATTCTTCATGTCTGTTCTTTTGGGAACATGCATCTAGAATATGAACACCATAAAAAAATGACTTATTTTATTGTTTTGACCTTTGTCCCCTTATACCACATACCAGTTATAGGGATCCATGTAAAACCTGAGTTAGATCCATTCCTGTTTAACTGATGTTGAGTATTTCAGGATAAAATTAATAATCCCTTTGGTGGCATACAAGATCCCTACACCGGCATCTCAGTTCTCTCAGCTTACCTTTCTACTGTCCTGTTACTTGAATTCATACTTTTCTTTAGTCCTATTTGCTTTTTTAAATATAAGCTCAAGGTTCTTTTCTTCCTTAGGATCTTTGACCTAGCTTTCCTTCAGAAATCTACTCACCTTTTGTTATTCAAGTTTTTTGGGGAAAAAAAAAAGCTTCACAATGAGATTTACTTAAGACAACTTCCTCTACTTTGCCAAGCACTTAATCTAATTTACAATGAACTTAATGTTTATTGACTCTTTCCCTAATTAGAACTTAAATTGTATGATCTTTGATTTGTTCAGTGAGATATAATAAGAACTAGAACAGCACCTGACTAACAGCAGACATTTATTGGCTTATTAAATGTTGTTTTCCTAGCGACTGAGTAACAAAGTCAGAATTTGTAATTGAAGTCTTGCTTCTGGAACCTTCTTGGCTCAGTGACTATCAGGCTCTCATTTATTACTCTTAGGGAGAAATATAGAAGGTCTGAGGTTCTCTTTGTTCAAAACTATGTAGACAGTGGGTCAAGATAATGAACATAAATAAACATGCCCTTCTATTATCCTGTGCTTTATTACAGGAGGGAAAGTGAAGTTACTCATAATCTCTTGTAAGATACTAGAATCCTTCATGATTTGTAGTTCAGTATGCCTTGATTTAATTTTAAAAATATGCGAATAAAGACTAGGTAGATGGTTCACTCAGTAAAGTGCTTGCTATGTAAGCTTGATCCCCCAGCATCACATTAAAAAACTGGTATGGTGGCACAAAACTGTAGAGAAAGAAGGAATCTTTGGAGCTTGCCTGCCAGTCAAGTCTAGATGAATCAGTCAGTTCAAAATTCAGTGAGAGACACTCTTAAAGACTAATGTGGAGAGAGATTGAGGAAAACATCTGACTTTGACCTCTGGCCTTCACATGCCCATGCGCGCGCACATGCACACACATACACACACACACACACACACACGCGCGCGCGCGCGCGCGCGCACGAAAAGTTAAAAATAAATTTTCTTGAAATCATATATTTAAAGCCAAATATTAATATAGCATATCTTAAATGGCAAGAATGCACCACTGTGAAGTTAATAAGTAGCATCACCACTGAAACAGAAATTGATGAATACAAATTTTTGTTAACTAGAGATGTAGTCATTACTATCTACCATCTGGATCTATTTTAGCATTTAAATTTTTTTATATACTTAAGGAATTAAGAAAAAAGGATTAATCCCCAAATATAGATGTTGTAAGTGCTTAAGTATAGCAGTTTTTTGTTCTGTATTGCCCTGCTGTATAGTCTTGGTTCTCTGAAATGAGCAGTTTTTGAACGTAGCTAACTGTCCTTCAGCTTTTCTACAAGCATTTGGAACATAACCTGCCTTGTAATAAGACCTGCTTTTAAACTATTCTGGTTCTTACAGATGCAATACTGATGGCAGAATTTAAATATTACTACTGGGTTTTAGTTTTCTTATACTTTTATCAAAATTTATACTTTTGAAAACCTTGAAGACCATTTTGTTGAACAGTGTTCTTTTTAAGTGTAAAATATTTTGTATATTTACAAATACCAGTTAGAATATTCACTTCTGTGACTTTTTTCTTTATTAATGTTTTCCCTCAAATACCTTTTTATACAACATGTTAACATTTGCTTACAAAATCACAATAATAAATATGGTGTAAAACAACAATTTAAGGCATGTTATAATTTCTATTTATCACAGTAGGGCAGTCCATGCTCTTGTCACATAACAGTGCATGATGATATCCTCCCTCATAAATGACTGACTAGATAAGGATACTACACACATACCCATGTGCGCCCATCTGTGCACACACATTGGTTAGGGTTGTTTTTTGTTGTTGTTTGAGACAGAATTTGTTTAGAACTCATTTTGTAGCCTTGCTGGCCTTGAATTCAGGATCTTCCTGCCTCAGCCTCCTAGATGCTGTTATTATAGGCTGTGACACTACACATGGTTCATATTTCCCTATTTATCTTTTTAGAAATACTGTGGTTTACTGTTTTTTGTTTGTTTTCCTTTTTGTTTTGTTTTTTGTTGTTGAGACAGAGTTTGACTGTATGTGTAACCCCAGCTGGCCTGGAATTCACAGATCTGCCTGCCTCTACCTCTTTGAATGCTAGAATTAAAGGCTTATGCCACCATACCTGGCCTGCTCACTGATTCTTGATTTTTGAGAATATTCATTAAGTATGTCATAGTAAGAGGTATGATCATCAAAATCAGTATTGCTGACAAGAGGATTTAGAGTCCAGCTATTTCTATAAATTTACCTTCTCATTCTTCTGGTAAATGCCAGACATTTTCCCTGTCCTTTTTATTTTTCTACTTACCATTCATAGCAAAAAATTTAAAACTCTAAAATTTAATCAGCTGTGTCTAATGAAAGCTTACAAAAATGCCCTTTTATCCTTTATAAGAATAAATACCTGGCAATACATTTAAAAAAAACAAAAACAAACACAAAACAAAGATAGAGCCAATACACAGGATTTTTTCACTCTCACATCCTTCTCTTTTTACCAGAGATGGTCAAAGCATTTCTATGAATGGCCAGACAGTAAATATTTTAGGAGTCATGACCAATCTATCTCAAATACCCAACTCTGCCTTGGCAGCTGAAAACAACTACAGACAATATATTGGGTAATGATCATGTTTTTTGTTCAGTAAAACTTAATGTGCAAAAGCAGGTGACTGGGTTGGGGGTAGGGTGGCTGGTGATATAACTGAGGAGTAGTGCACTTGACTAACAAGCACAAAGTCCTAGGTTCAAACCACAATATCACAAAACAACAACAACAAAAACAGGTAACAACTGGCATGTGTGCCATAGTTTGCCACTTCTGTCATGTAATTAATGCCTCTATTTCTTACTGTTACTCTGTTGAGGAATAATTGCTGAGTAAGAAATGAAACAACAGAATGTCCCAAAATAGAAATGTGATAATGAAAATCCGTAGTGTTTTGGCAATTAATATCAGTTGTGTTATATGCATTCCTAAAAATGTGTGTGTTGCAAAAAAATCTTAGGGCTTATGGGGAAATTGGAATTCAGAATATATCACACTTCATCAGTGACACATATAAAAACCCATGGACCTAAAAATGTAGCATAGTTTTAAACATACCAAATAAAAAAGAAATATACAAATACAGTGTTTCAACTTTAAAAAAAGACTTGAACTTGACTCCTGAAGTGTCCATCAGACATACTGAAGCAAGACAAAGTCGTGAAATACAGTAGAAGGAAAATTATCTTAAATCAGATCAATTAGAAATGCCAGGTGTGGAGGTATGGGTACAGTCTATCACACACTTGGAGAACCTAGGGAGCTGTTATGGCTGGGGTCAGAATATATATTATCTTGTGTCTTAATCGACTGATAGTTTTCTGTCTTCACTTACTGTGTATCATAGATGTAGAACATGAACAAACACAAATTTGCTTTATATTCACATTGCTTCCTAATTTGGCAGTTATGCTGAGATAAATAGACACTTCCAAAATATCATGTGCCTTAAAATATAATTGACCATGTGTTCTAGTTGGCTTTCTATTGCTGTGATTAAAAGCACTGACCAAAACCAACTTGGGCAGGAAAGCATTTAGCTCACAGTTCATCATCAAGGAAAACCAAGACAGGAACTGAAGTACAGACCACAAAAGAACACTGCTTCTGACCCTGCTCCTTCAGCCTGACTCAGCTACCTTTCCTATGCAACTCAGGCCCACATGCCCAGGAATGGCACCTCCACCATGGGCTAAGCCCTCCCACCCCTTGGCCTGTGCTCAGCCTGCTTTCTTAATATAGGACCACCTGCCCAGGGGTGGCACCACCCACAGTGGGCTGGGCCCTCCCACATCATTCGGCAGTCAAGAAAATGCCCCACAGACATGGCCACAGAACTGTCCAATGGAGGCAGTTCACTCACTATCTGAAGCTCCCTCAACCTAGATGTGTCAAGTTGATAACTAAAGCTATCTGGCACACCGTAGTTTTGCAAAGAGCTCATGAGTTGTCCATGAGACATGTTCTTGAGAAATGGTATGGAAACTGTCTGCGAATGTTGTCCGTGTGCTTGAGAAATGCTAAGAAAATCTGAGAATTTATTTATTTATTTATAAATTTATAATTTATGTGTATTAGTGCTTTGCCTGCATTGCATGTATGTAATTGTACTCATGTTGTGCAATACCCACAGAGGCCAGAGATACATTGGATCCCCTGGAACTACAGGTATAGATGGTTGTTAACTCCATTGGATGCTAGGAATCAAACGTGGGTCTTCTGCAAAAGCAGCGAATACTATTAACTGCTGAACCGTCTCTTCAGCCCCTGAGAATTCTATGGAAGACATTTATGTCTAGATTTTAGTATTAGAAATATCTAGTTTTTAGTGGTTTGGTATATTTTTACTTCACTTTCATCAAAAGATCATAAAATATCTATTTTTTAAAATTCAGGATCAAGAACAAGTACTTAATGATACAGTGGATGGGAAGGAAATCTATAATACAATTCGTCGTAAAACAAAGGATGCTTTTTACAAAAATATTGTTAAGAAAGGTTATCTTCTAAAGAAGGGTAAGTGAACTTTTAAGAATGTTAACCATTTCACGGTCATTACAAATATTAAATGCAAAACTTACTATGATTTATAGTCAGTTGTTTTGATTAGAAACTGGTACCTCTAGGTACCTGTTTCGAGCTTATATATGAACATCATTCAAAATTTAGAATTCATGTATATTAAGTTCACATTTCTAACCAAGGTTTTTTTTGGGGGGGAACCAACCCTATATTCTTCTAAGTTTGTCACTGGATCTTGAGTTAGTCCAGTGCTCTTTATCTCCTCTCCCTGAGAAACCCCTATGGCATTTGGCATTCATGATATTGATGTTTTAATTTAATTTTGTAGATCTACCTCAATTAGATATTAAGGGATTGAGGGAATGGGTGTGGGTAGTGTTTAGTGGAAATTTTTTTCCTTAAGATTGGGAAATAATTACTCCAAAGTAAGAATTTTGAAAATTTTATCAAAATGAAATCTTTGAAGATATAGTTAAGGTATTCTCATGAACACTGTCATTCATTAAAACAAACAATAATGACAAAAAGCATTTTTCTACAATGTATAGGCATTTTTGTAATTATATAAGGACTGATGTATTGTTTAAGCCTGGAATAAAAGTGAAGTATATTTAATTTTTTAATTCTGAAAATATGACTTCATAATTTTTCAACAGGCAAAGGAAAACGTTGGAAAAATTTGTATTTTATCTTAGAGGGCAGTGATGCCCAACTTATTTATTTTGAAAGTGAAAAACGAGCTACAAAACCAAAAGGATTAATAGATCTCAGTGTGTGTTCTGTCTATGTTGTTCATGATAGTCTCTTTGGCAGGTAAGAAATTAGTTTTCCATGTAAACTGTTTTTGTTTTAATAATAAAAGCAGACGTTTCCAGACTGTATTGAAGCATAACCTATTTTAAGAGCATGAAATCATTTAAAATTGTCAGATTTACTTTTTAGGGTAATTTTTATACTCTATATTTTTGACTAACCTATGCGTAAAGTTCTATTAGGTAGAACTCTCTGGAATGACACTCAACAGTAGGACTTGATCTTACTGTGAATATGGTATGTTTTCTCTCTTCCATTGCCAACAGTCTTTAGAGGAGAGGAACATTATTTGGGCCCTTTTAACATCCTGATTTTTACCACATTCTTTGTTAATTCAGTGCATTGAACAGTACTGGGTACACTTAATTCTTTTAACTCTGTAGGCATTTTTCAGTAGTGGTTATGGATCAAAATATATGCAGATTTGAAGTTATTTTTTTCTTACATTGATTTCAAGGTTTTAAAAAATAAACTTACTCTGAGCATTATGAGGCAAATCTAGCTTTTTATTATATCTGGATTTTTGCTCAAAACCAATTGCCTTTACTTCTCTATTGAAGTATTTCATTAATTCATTTGACCTTGATAATCCTCCTTACTTTTCTAAACACAAATACTTTGTAGAAGGAATTATTCTAAAATAAAAGGACTGAAACTGCCTTCTGCTTGGTGCAGTAAGAATCAAGTGTAGGCTTTAGACTTAGAACCTGGTTAGGACTGTCACAAAGAAATTCATATTGCTATTGGCCCTTTCTTCCACTCCACTGCCCATAAACAGTGCTTCTAAACCAATCCATCTTTAGGTGGAGACCCAAGATCTCAGTGAGATAGACTCATGTTTCAGTCTGTGCTACAACCAACTATAATATGGTCCTAAAGTCTACCTGAGATTTTAGAAGTCCTGTGGCTATAAATATATGAACCATCAGCCTTAGCAGTTGCCTGTCAGCCAGGAACACCCCCCCACCCCCCTGTTTCAAGAAACATAGCATGATGAAATTTCTACCTCAGGGGCTAGGACAGAGAAATTAAGTACAAGTCTTTGCTTTGGAACTCATTACTGCTGTGGTAAAATCGAATACCAAGCAAGTATTCCAGGCCAGTAAGCATGGATGAATGATAGCGACTGCAAGATCAGTGATTAAACAGCCTGACTAGATCGGAAAGACAGGCACGAACAAAGCTAGATTACAAAACTGGAATAAATACCAATCCTTCATTGTGCAGACACTGTTATATGTTAGCAAGCATCAAGTACTTTCAGGAAATCATGACCTTGCCTAGTGGAGAAAATAGAGTACTATAATTTGACCATGTAGACTTAATATGTGTAAATTCACAGGCACAAAATTCAGAATGGCTTTTTAAAAGAAAATGAATTTTAGAAAACCTTAAGAACAATTATGTCACATCTGAGACCTAGTCCCCATGGATACTTATTTGAGGCACCTGTGCTCCTTAGTGCTTCTCTCAGTTTTTTCTTCCCTTTTTTCCTTGTTCCCTCTTCTTGGTGCTTACCTGAAGGCTTTATGTTTGTTTCCCCTCCTTAATGCTTATCTGAGTTCTTTCCCCACCCCACCCTCTTTGGTCCTGGGGACCAGTCCTAGGACTTTCCACTTAGCACTAAGCTATACTTAGAGCATCTTGTTAGAGAAAAGTAATAGGAAGAATGAAGTAATTTTCAAAAATCAAACATACCCTGGATCTGAAATGAAAAATGCTGGAAAGCATCAGTAGCATAATTGATTTAAAAATCTCTAAAATTATTTAATAATATATAGTTGTAGAAATGATGAGTGATGAATAAAGCTTATAGGAAATTTGTGACAGAATTAAATGTGCAAGGATTCAGGTTATTGGGATTCAGTAGGGACTTGGCAATGCCAGAGGTGTAGAAAGCTTATTGAAGAAGATAACTGAAAACTTTCAAACCTGGAGAGAATAAAATTACCTAAAACAGTATTTTAAAACGTCACCCATCAGATTCTGCCCAAGTAAATGTACATAATATAATCAAGCTCTCAAATGTTAAAGAATTCTGAGAACGACAAGAAAAAAAAAAA